TATATAGTAATAATAGAACACACACATATATATATATATATATATATATATATATATATATATATTATATATACATGAATTTATGATTACATATACATCGATTAATCCATACGTATATAGACATACTCCTATCATATAAACGTAGAAAAACATATTGAAAACTACAGAATATGTCAAGAGTCCGATTATGCATCTCAAAATGGTGTTAAAAAATGTGTGTATTGACGTTACCAATGATACATACTCTTAAGGCAATGCAAGATGCTTCCGAGAGGTATTCTCTGGCTTGGCAAGCTCTTCTCGCGCCACTTTCTTATCGTTCTCGATATCCGCAATCAGCGCGTCCACGCCCTCGTAGTTCTTCATACCGCGCCAAAATCCTAGTATAGCAATCCTCAGCATCTCCCCATAGAAGTCCCCATCAAAATCGTGCAATATATGCACCTCAGCTGTCTTAGTCTTGTTATCATAGAATGGGTTATATCCGATACTCATCACCATAGGATATACCGGCTCTTTGTCATCGAGTGTAGCCCACCCCCAATACACCCCTGTGGGATAGCTATTCTGGATCTTGTCAACTTCTGACTGAGGTAAGTTTGCAGTTGGACATCCCAAGTCTTTACTACCACGGCCAAAGCCCTTGGTCACTTCCCCTGCTAGAAGCAATGGTTCTGAAGGGAACACAAAGTTCTCGCTTGACGCTTCTGCCATCGTGTAAAATTGTTAAGTTTATATACGTCTTTGATTGAGTACGTGTGTTTGGTTGCTGTTGTCGGTATAAATAGAAGCCTTTGTAAATAGTTTATATTTTGATTTTAACGATTATACATCAAGTCATTCCGTCTCGACTCTAGAGTCACATATATCATAAATACGTACATACATACAACATACGAAGCGATGGCACGTTATTTTCTCAGGTGATAATCCAATGCATGTTACACTGTAGAGACTATGGGACTATGGACTGGCCAAGGGTTTAATCTCGAAGGCTATGACACCACTCAAGTGTCCAGAGTCAGAGGCTCTCACCGCCTCACTTTTTTTTCTCGAGAGGCAGGTACCGAGCCAGCCACCCCAGAAAAGGTAACAAAAGCCGGTTCTTTTTCAAACAATACACTGGGTTTCTATTTATAGTTTGCGACGTCTTAGAGCCTCAGTCCCACTGACCAGTCCCCAGTCCCAACTGTCCCAGCCTCCAACCTCACCAGGCCCCAGGGCTCAGGGCTCAGGGCTCAGGGCCTCAGCCCTCAGGCCCCCAGCTAGGATAGTATTTTCAAATACATTTTTTTCCTCCCCGTACACATGGGGACAGGCAAAGGTCATGAATTTTTTATTTATACGACTGATATCGTCAAAACACATGGATTGACTAAAGCGATATTTAGAAAATAGTTCCGTCGCTATATTACACTTTGTGATCGCCCGGAAAGTAGAATATCGCTAGGAGTCTATCTGTAGTGGTGTTTGAATAGCTAGTGTATTGGTACCTTAATCAGTACGAACTACTTCTTATCCTTATACACATACTTACATACACATCCTGTCCGGTTAGGTTATAGTCACTATGCCCGCAGTCGTAAATAAGTCGTCAGGTAAGAAAAGTAAGAACAGTGGCAAGACGACGAAGAATGCCACTTCCACAGACACGCCCGTAGAAGTGCAGACTACAGAAGCATCCGATAAAAAGAGCAGCAAGAAGAAAAGTAAAAAGGCAGCTAGTACATCACAGGACACACAGGATGCAGCTAAATTCGTTTCTAAGCGACCGAATGAGGATGTGAAGGTCAGCAAGAAGACCAAGAAATCTAAGGTGGAGGTGGCTTCACAAAGCGATAGTGACGATGAGACAGGGACGACAGAGGTTGTAGTCAAGAATGATTTGAAGCTCAAAGAAGACAAACCTGCAGATCTCGATGATGAGGACATGGAGGTAGGTGAGAGCAAGCAGGAAGCCAAATCAGAAAGTGATCTGAAGAAAGAACAAGAGGAGCAGGCAAGTGCTGAGGTGGCCCTACCCTCAGAAACCGAACATATCGATTCGCGTTTCGAGTCTTTGGGTCTGTGTGAGAAGTCCATGCAAGCTATTGTTGACATGGGGTTCACAGATATGACCGAGATTCAGCGCAGAAGTATTCCAGAGTTGTTGAAGGGCAAGGATTTACTGGGTGCTGCATGTACCGGGTCAGGTAAGACCCTGGCATTTTTGTTGCCGTGCATTGAGCTGCTATACAAGCTCCAATTCACCCCCAGAAACGGTACTGGCGTGCTGGTGATCTCACCTACACGTGAGTTGTCTCTACAGATCTTGGGTGTGGCCAAGGATCTGCTCAAGTATCATTCACAGACATACGGTATTGTTATGGGAGGTGCTAACCGCAAGGCTGAGGCCGAGAAGTTGGGCAAGGGGGTCAACCTGTTAGTGTCCACACCCGGACGTCTCTTGGATCACTTGCAGAGCACCAAAGGGTTTAACTACAAGAACTTGCAGGCCCTGGTTATCGATGAGGCTGATAGGTGTTTGGAGATTGGGTTCGAAGAGGAGATGAAACAGATCATCAAACTGTTGCCTGTGAAACGTCAGACACTTCTGTTCTCAGCCACACAGACGCGTAATGTAGAAGATCTTGCACGCATATCGCTCAAGACGGAGCCTGTGTATGTGGGTGTGGATGACAACAATGTGGTCGCCACCGCGGCAGGCATTGAACAAGGGTACGTACTGTGCCCCAGTGAGAAACGGTTTTTGTTGCTGTTCACCTTCCTCAAGAAGAATATGAACAAGAAGATCATTGTGTTCTTATCGTCGTGCAACTCGGTGAAGTACCACGCTGAGCTGCTCAACTACATTGACATACCCGTCATGGACATCCATGGCCGACAGAAACAGGCCAAGCGTACCTCTACCTTCTATGAGTTCTGTAATGCAGACAAAGGTATCCTACTAGCCACCGATGTCGCTGCCCGAGGGTTGGATATCCCCGCAGTTGATTGGATCATCCAGTTCGACCCAAGTGACGACCCCAAGGAGTACATCCACAGAGTTGGGCGTACGGCTCGTGGTAAGGGAAAGCAAGGCAGAGCACTGCTGTTCTTGTTACCCGAGGAAATGGGTTTCCTGCGCTTCTTGAAACACGCCAAGATCCCCTGCAACGAGTTTATTTTCCCGTCGAATAAGATTGCCAATGTGCAGTCTCAGTTGGAGAAGCTGGTCGAGAAGAACTACTACCTGCATAAGAGTGCCAAGGATGCCTACCGGTCGTACCTGCAATCCTACGCGTCACATTCGCACAAACAGATTTTCAATGTGCAAGGTTTGGACCTGCAAAAGGTAGCGATTGCCTTCGGTTTCCGTGTGCCTCCGAGTGTGAGCTTGAATGTGCACGCCTCGAAAGATGCTAAGATGAGCCGAAGAGTGGGCAACCACGGTGGCTGGGGTAAAGATAAGAAACAGGCTGATAAGGCCAGAGTGTACAAGAATATGGGCACCGGGGGTAACAAGGATGCTCGCCAGTTCTCCAAGTAGGGTACATGTATTTATGAATGTATATAGGTGAGCATGGGAGCGGGAAGAAAGGTGTCGGTTGGTAGAATGGAAAGACTTGTCCCGTCGAGTTGGGGACATGCCATAACGACGCTAAATTAGTTAGAAAAGACACCTACTGAAGTGAGAGTAAGGAACTATGAGTTTGCGTCGGAACTCGATATGGATTCTGATGTTGTTGGGTATCGATCTCGCATCGCCTATCGATGATGATACGATGTGAAGGTTCTCGGAATTAAGCAACACGTAGTGGTTGTCTGGGCGCAGAATGAGTCTGCATCTGGTGGTCCCTGCTTCTCAAATGTAGGACAGTTTGAACGAGTGAAACTAAAAATACAATATATTAATATCGCATGAACGCTTTGCTTGGTCTTACTAGGTTTTCAGCTCGGGTTGCCTCTATAGTCGCTTATGGATCTACAGCATGACTCGTGAAGACACGCCGTGACAGTCTATCTATATTTACGATTTGATACATGCCTGTATTTGTCACCGATTCATTAACTGGCTGACCTGAGACCAATAAATTTATCAAATTGTGTGGATATATGCATGTATGTGTTTCAACTGCATAAACGTATGACCTGCGCATCGATGTGTATATACTTGTATTTCGGCCATGCTTCTAGCCACATGCCACGATCGATGTGATAATATACATAGATGTTTGGCATGCCTTTAGACACGATGCCACGATCGATGTGCTGAGGTATATATTACGTACGTAAAACAAAGAATGCAACTCAACAACCAGTGAAAAAAACTGAACAAAATACTGATTTTCCAATGCGATCCGATACAATGCTACAGCAGACAAACGTCTTTTGGTTATCCTTTAGTTAATACATTTGAGAGTCGAGGAGTGATTCGTGCTTGCTCCACCCACCAGCTTGGACACAGCGCGTGCGCAGTTTTGATATACTTTTCTATCAGGGACAGAAACCCTCCCCTTGTAGTGAAGGAATCGTATTGATGGCTTATTTGAGTCCTATGTTCGCTAGCGAAGACAGTGATCAAATAAGACCAAGAGAAATTGCTGCACTCTTGGGTCAGATCTCACGAACAAAGGCTGCTGAGCTGGGCAAGAATATGGGTGGCGTCTATACTTCATCGAGAAAGTGGCTGACTGTCAGGGCGGGTGTCCACAATATTCGCAAGCCGGATATGTGGAGTAGCCACCAGTAACGGAAAGTCGCATAACGATCGGGATGGTGTTGGGGTTCTTATCAGAAAATATGGAACTATAACTACGGTAGGCCGAGTGAGGTACTGTTAAACGATTCTGACCTACTAACCAAAAGAGAAAGTGCTTGCTTTCCTGGCTTTCCTGTGGTTTTGGATGACGGCCCAATACACGAAGATATCTTCACACGATGTTACAGCGGAGTATCCCAGCGAACATCATCAACGGTATCAGCCCCCAGAAAGTACTTTTGAGTGGTATTACAGTATACCTGGAGTTGATCCAGGACAGCATTCGTACTGTGAACAGATGAAGCTTAACGAGTGTGGCTGATAACTTTCACTTTAGATCACATTGTTAGTATAATATATTAGGCCTCCTACGAAGATAATCTATTATGTGTGATGTGCAGCTGGAGCTGGCATATGGAATACAATATGTAGAATCATATATGGCGAGTGTCGTTCAGGACAATCTTATTATATAAAGCGGAATGCAAACGAAAATGATTGTACTAAACACACAAAACACATTGATGGCACATGTCTGATTATTATAAAAACAACACGCATTTCCACAGCATGCACAACACAGGTTGTAGTAAGAACGTCGACATCATGCCAAGTATGTCTCTAACATTGAATGAATAAATTCGATGATAAATATATAGATATAGATATATATCTATTACATACAATATGGCCCATTCTGTGAAGGGTCGCCACTATTTCACTCGCGACCTGCTTTATGACTTAATAGCTCAAACGAGAAAAAATCACATCTCAGTTGTTGACATATACTTATCCGATTCTTACACCCTTCATATGAACTATTCCTAATAACAGCACAACCAGCATTGGATACTATGTAAACGGCAGAAAGCGAGGTATCCAGTCTGTGAGGGTGTGTTGCATCAACTACCAAGCAACAATTACCAACTACTAGGCAACAACCACCGAGCATACGATCGATGCACTACGCATTGGGATAAGTAATAGATCTTTAGTAGAGTACACGAGGCAGACATCAAGTATCCTACACCAACTCGTTTTTGGCGATTAAAGTACACTGAAGATGAAGAGTGCTTCGCATTGTATATACTAGCGAACAGCTTTAGAATTTAGCTCACAATAAAACCAACCCTGCAATTACCCTAAACCCAAGAACTAGAAGTGGCATCAGCCTTCAGGCCTCAGGGGCATGTCGCAGATGTATGAGATAAATTACCCTAAACCCAGGCGGGCATTTAGCATACGTTCACAGCAGTCTATCCGTGTAGGGTCTGTATTTAATACGCGTACGTCTACTACAATATTGACATAGAATCAATGGATACTTCCCAATGGATACTTCCCTTCGAATGTGTTTGTGTATGCATGCTGGACATATCAATAATACAATAACAATTTGTAAACTGTGAGCGATTTATCATGTATCTGAAGTAGTAGGAAAAGGCAAGGATGAGTTCGCATGTAGTGGTGGGTGCCATCCCCGAACATTATGCGTCGATAGATTTGCGTGTGTTCTTCGATGACCTGGTCGAAGCTGGTATGTACACGACCACAAGACAAAATAACCCTGTACACATCACGAGACAATTTCTCAACCTTGAAGATATACTCTGATTACGAACCTGGAATAGTCAGCAAGAGTTATAGCAGATAGGTAGATATACTAATACTTAGATCGGGGATCGTTCCATACTTTGTGAAAGCGTTAGACTATCAGTCTTATATTACGCACCAGATGCCGTTAGTTGTATGACCCAGAGCTCACATCTATAGAAATGAAAGAGACTGGAACTGGGTCAGTTTGCCTGATGTTATATATTGGAACACACAAGTTATTAAATAGCCTACTTTAGATAAACTGGTTGACAAGCATGCGTGCTTGAAAGTTATGATCAAGCAAACCCGTGGTTATACATAATTGTACGCATTACCTTCGGCTGATTTTATATACACGTACACTCTGATTCAATCTACATAGTGAATGTACATCGAAATAATGTTTGTAAATAAACTGACTTAAGAAGTTACTATATACGATTGAACTATAGTCTTATATATATATATATATATATATATGTGTGTGTGTGTGTGTGTGTGTGTGTGTGCTACTTCTAAATTAAATGTACACTATATTCTCTATTTATTTTGCGCTCAAGGTCAACCCACAACATACAACCGATTTACGAAGTGTACTCCTGCCATATACCTTGCTGTATCCCAATTTGTTTGCAATTATACACACATGTCAAGCAATCCAAAGTTAATTCACCCCCTCCCTCTCTAATCCAGGCATGTTGACATGCTTCCACTACCAACACCGTAAGGAACCAGACGCGCCCACACGGTCGTGCATGATAGCACTGGACCCGAAACATATGCATAGGCTGATTGTGTACAACGGCACACCGTGGACAGATCGCAATGATGCACAGACAGACGCCACGATGACGGCACGCGTTACACTCAATCTCGTGCGGTGGACCGGTGTAGGTAAGGGGAGTCACAAGACAACAACTGATCAACTGAGCCAGGAGAAAGATTCTGTAAGTGGTATTACTTCCGAGTGCACTGTGTACATCCGGGAAGGGGGGGGGGGGGGGGATGGGGGGTCTAGTGATGTGCTTGTGTATTGGTTAGGGTGTAAAGGTATGGTATGGTGTGGGACTGTGAACCGCGGAGAAGGGATCGGAGAGTCCGTGCTTTTTTGCACCTGGGTGCCTATTTCCGAACGTGTATGGGGAAATGGGGCGCAGTTGTGTGGGAATATTAGAGACAACAACTGCATCGTACGCATTTGATTGACCTTAGCAGCACGACACCGTTCTTAACATTTCGCATCTCAGCCGTAGCCTACCAACCGTGCAAGAAGTGCAAGTAGTATGCACACCATGCTTGTCCGTGACTGAAATTAACATACGGCGTTCTCGTTCCAATGATCATGAGCAGGGATTGCCTGTTGTCGAAGTACCGAACGTTTTACGGCCCAATATCACCGAGTTACAACCACCGCAGTATCTGCCGAATGGTATGGGTGTGCTTGGATTAGATATGTTGCTGATGGTGCGCGCGCGTGACCACTTTTCCGCGTATATGGCAATGGATGCACAGTTGAGTGCTTCAGATATCTTACGAGAGTTTTTCAAGGGTGGAATTTATAACGTTCGCTTAGCTGGGATGGACTTTTCGGGTTTTAAGGTTACGGGTTTTCGATCTATAGGATATATATATATATATATATATATATATATATATATATGAGTATGGTACCTAACAATACCTAATCCCTCTCTGACACACTCTCACATCTCACAGGTAACGTCGGTACACCCATGCACACATTGCAACGTATGATAGAGGAATGCAAGCTACCGGTCTCAGTGATACGTCGATTGGAATTGAACACACGACGACGAATACGTACAGGCCCCAATGGGAAAGCGTACACGGATGTGCGCATGCTGTACCCTGAGACGACAGAGAATCCGTACGATTACGAGAATACGTACAATCAGCAGCATCCAACCAATGAAGACGAGCCGGAGGAGTGGGATCGTTACGAGGCCCTACACGACGGTATGTTGTATCATGCAAAGGAGCAATAAGGGGAGGATGTGTGCACGTCCCATGTGTCACATATGTGTGTTGGTAACAGTGAGATAAGTGCAAAGCCATACACGATACACAACCGTGTGTGTGGTATGAGCTCATCATGCGAGTTGTACCTGTAGTTGAGTCACGTGTATGTGGGCCGGTACTGATGGACCCCCCATATGGGGCTGTATGCGCTAGCATACGTCTGTGACTGGGAATGGGGCTCTTGTGATGTGCGTATTGTTCCTACCTCTATTGTTCCTACCTCTATTGCGTCATACGACTAGATAGCCGTTCAGATCGACCGATACGTTGTATATAATACCCTGGGAATTGTGCGTGGGCTGACCTGCCTTTAGACACACAGCCATTCAAGCGGCATATGTGTGAGATTCCTGGTGGTGGGTGAAGTTTTCTCAACCCCACATGAACCGTGCAGGCAGTCTATTCAGTGTACTGGTATGGGTTAATTAACCTGTCATCCAGTGCATATAGTGCTATCCTGTTTTCCTGCACATCCTGTGACAAGCTTCTTGATGCCGCTGTCCGAACTACATGCTCAGTTTGCCTTGCTTGCATTTAGGGTTTTAGGGTTCAGGGTTTTAGGGTTTTAGTATCTTCGACGCTGCTTTCGTCATACCGAGCTTTTTGTGACATTTCCCAATGAGGCGCAAGTCTCCTTCCCTTGTCTCTAGAACTCAAAAGTTTCGCCATCGGGGATTCGCATCAATGAACCAAACCTTTGTGACATCCCAGCAATAGGAGAGTGGTTATCCTTCAAGCGCCCTTTCTACCTCCTACTTGTAGTGTATCAATGTGAACTCCCATATGAGTGTTTGAGTATCTTCATCTGACCTCATATGTGAGTGTTGGTACGTACACTTCCACCTACATCTATATACGAAACATCTGGCACTACACCTACACCTCTATACGAAACATCTGGCATTAGCTGTGACTATCGCTGTCACCGTGGATTCAGACTCGTACTCTCTATCCCGTCACTGCAATTTTAGATGTCGACGAACAAGAGCGAATCAAAGAGAGGACGTTTGAAGGGGATGTGGAGGTGACGTGGGATAAGGTGTGCTGCATGACACCATTTGTGTCATACTAGAGTACTGCATGACACTATTTGTGTCATACTAAAGTACTGCATGACACTATTTGTGTCATACTTAAGTACTGCATGCCACTATTTGTGTCATACTTAAGTACTGCATACCAATATTTGTGTCATATCAAAGTACTGCATGCCACTATTTGTGTCATACGAAAGTGTTGCATCATATTATTTACGTCTTACTTAACTTCTGCATGGTCAACTGTACACTCCCAGCAGCTATGCTGTGGTATATCCACATACTTGGGATGCAAATTATTTGTATTATGTTTGGGTGTTGTATAGATTTGTGTCTGCATATCAATGTCGTAGCCAGAGTCGGCAGTGTAGTGAGAGTAGAGTGTCAACGTACAAGTTCAATGCAAGAGATTCGTGTGTGGTGCTTGGGCCCTATTCACGAATATGCAGGATCAAACAGACCGGTTTCATAGTTATTCGCGAATATGCAGGACGTAAACAGACAGGTTTCATAGTTCAATGGAGTTCTGCGCTCACACAATGTACTGGACTGCTATCGGTCCTGAATCGGTGAAGGTTCCAACCAATCCAAACTCTTCATAGAAGATTGTGTTGAGTTATCCGAATACAAGGGATGCGGTGGGCCTTCACGTGATGCACAGACACACAGTGCGAACCTGCGGAGCTCTAACTACTAATCCTTAACTGACTATGAGAGAAGCCACAGAACCATATGTTAACTGTTCATCTCAAAACCACACACCAGTCAGCTTTACATATAAAGTGTTAATACCAAATTACACCCCAACTCGATCGTACAAAACAAGCAGCCGCATGATGTGGGATGCACACTCGCGGCCATGAGATGTCATTTGATATCAAAGTGGCGATGTTGAGATACATACAACACGGTCGTATTGTGCTACATGCTCATCCCATTGATTCCAACTACCACGCATGCTACCATTCGTGCAGGGCAGCAGTGGGCTGGTCTTCTACACCGACACCCAGTACTGGAACGCCAACGAGACCGAGGAAGCCGATGTCAACGATTGGGATGCGGATGAGCGGATCAATACACCCCCGTGCACAGACGTACCCAGTGACCTAAGAGGCCCTTACACAGGCAAACCCCGAGCACGGGAAGTACATGTCAATGCGCAGGCCAAGACGAATAGGGGCAGAGGGGGGGGTGGGGGGTGGATGTGGTGTATCTGGACCACAACACACGGCAACGCGCTGCGATGCTGGAGCGAGATCTCGAGCAACGGGAGTGGGATGTGGAGCATATGCGAGAGCAGGCTGCAGGGAGTAGAGATGTATGCAATGGATGTATTAAAAGGGATATGTGTGTGTTGGGTTGTGAGGTGTATGTATATGTATAAGTTTAAGTATGCAGGTGGTTGTGAGATGTGTGTATATGTATATGTTTATGTATGCAAATGGTGTACTGTGTAAGTGGGTGTGATGTGCGTGGCTGTCTGTAGAGTACTGAGAATTCAACCGAGATTATTCCAACTGGCTTTGAATTGAAGTTTGAATTCGTGTTTAGTTTCTATTGTACTCTAGAGTAATTCACTGATATATACCAGTGCTTTGTACTTAGACGCCAGTCGTTTATGTTAATATTCTATCACCCACAGAGTGCCACCAGACATATACGTGCGAGCACCTCAGAGGAATATACGGGTCCAGATTCGACAAAGTCGAGTACACCCACGCAGGCCTCTCCGAACAAGCCTCAATGGAAAGCAGCCGTCCGTGATAGGTGTGTGCCACCTCTTAGGGTTTGTGTATTGACTTGTGTAGTCAGAAGGCCATTGACCCCTATAGACGAGAGAGGTGAGTTAGATAGTGAATCCCCTTGTAAATAAGAGTAGGGATGTTAGTCTCTAATGATGTCGCGCTTGTGGTTGGGTCGGTATCGGAATGCATCGGTTGGTCGTGTGTTGATCTATGAATTGGAATGCCCACTTGTTAATTCGGTTGTTGGTATGATCTTATCAGATATTGTTTCTGCTACATGTAGTGTACTTACGAACGTACTTCCGTTTTATCGCCAATAAACCATTTTTGATACACACGACTTATCTTTTCGCTGAATCCGCATGCTTTGAAGCACATTGTGGTGTCGGATCATCTGGTAGTCTCGTTCTCTCTTCCGAGTGGGCAGTCGATACACACCACCAGTTGTTGGATTTCGAATTCAAACACAGAATACTCGATGCATCCATTTTATTCGCTATAGAACGGCTCTAGTCTTCGGATTGAGAAGCATTCACGTTCGACGTACTGTGTTAACGTTTATTTGACTGCGTTCACCCCACTGGACAGGTACGCGCCCTTTGAGGCCTCGACGAAGGGGGTGGGAAGTACTATACTTTACCGCAGCGGCTGGCGCCCTGGACTTAGCCTGGGGAAAACAGGCAGAGGTGCACTAACAACCCCCTTAGAAGCACAAGGTCAGTCTGCGCACACACGTACTGGGCTGGGTTACAGTGTCGAGACGGATAGGAGTGTGGGCTTTGAGGTGGGTGGGAAGGGGCCAGCGAAGAGATACGATACGGCGTATGTGAAAATCCATACGCCGGGACATCAGAGTAGGACCCACCCAGGCTCTGAGCAAGTTGATGCTAACGCACACGCACATACGCACTCACCCCACGGGGAAGTGCACGCACAGACACGCACGGGTCAAGACAGACCACTGCCACGTGGTGCAGATGGAGCGGTTGCGAGTGGCGAGTGTGAGAGTGCGTCTCCCAAGACTTGCCACAGAAGTGATAGAGACAGAGACTGGGCTACAGACCCCAACGGGCCGTGTGGGAAGGACACGCAGTGTGTGGGTGACACACGCAGAGGGGGCAGGGCCTCAGTCGACACTGCAGGCGCACCTGACGATGTACCAGACGGCCATACACATAGGCACGATACAAGCGATACCCACCACACAGCTGAAGCGCATGACAAGCCAGCACCTGGGACCCCAAAAAACGGTACCCCGCCATTTGACAATGTACGTCCCTCGCACAGTACGGAGACGGGAAGTATGAGCCAGGAGAAGAGTGTGTGTGGTGCTACGGATAGTGGTGTGGAGACAGCACACGCGTCTGGAGAAGGCGGGACGGGATCAACCAGCCAAGCTGTTACTGACAGTGGGCCCCGCAATCGTAAAGCGAAATCAAAGTCAAAGCTGATCCTGCCAGTGGGCTATGAAGATGTGCCGTGGGATAAGAATGTATGTGGGGAGGGAAAGAGAGTGTTTAGAGACTAGTGTATGGCAGTACAGATCTGTGCAACCATAGTCACGCATGATGTATATATATATATATATATATATACATTACTTCTTCTATATATATATGAATTGAACAAAATGCTATATGGTTCAATATCCGGAACAAAGCCAAACATGCCTATGATTGTACGTAAACTGAAAATTGTGTGCTTGAACATACATAGTTGCGATGCATATGTCCATATATCATGTGTTGTGTTCAATCGGCTAGTAGTATCCGTGTGTCTATGACAGCTAGGCATCAGGTAAATACACTATTCAGATGGAGGAGAAGCAAACCGGCCTAGTCCCAATCGGGTGCCGGCCAGGACGTGCGTCATTCCCCGCCTGTCTTGTTACGTAGAGTGTCAATCTGAAGTACAATACGTATGCGGCTTTGTTTATTGCCGTTGCTTGTACTGGAGCCGAATAGTCTATATACAACGCACACAACATATGCGAATTTAATTCTGTACATGTTCATATGTTTCACCTGTATGTATATATCGAGATCGCATGTGCGGAGAATAATTCCTTTTCCCCCTTTGTATGTATGCTGTGGGTAAAGATGTGTATATGTGTATAGCTTGAACGTATGTATCTATCGAACGCTACATATATACATCAATACTTAACGAATATCTGGAGTTAGCCTTGTACAGGAACATCGCAGCAATGCGCATACTTGTCCTATTCAACGCACTTGCACTCATGGGATATGAGTGCACCCTCCATGTACACTATATTTGTTTCTTCATCTATCCTTATATATATACTTATATCACCTGCATTGTACTACAGATATCACCGGCATTCTGTTCTCATGCAAAACTCTCTGTCATCTGTATCATACCGCCTATACCACAGGCAGACACAGAAGACGCCCGAGCGGCCCACACAGTGGAGACGAGTTCGCACCTGCTTCCAGGCAACAGAGGGTACTCTGTCAAATACAGAGCTGTGGCATTTGTTGGCGCAGATGATCGAGCTACGACGGTCAAACCCGTGCCTCAACCTCACACACCCGGGGTCATGCCAGGGATAAGATACAGTCAGCCCTACTTCACATCACAGGGGGCGACCACAAAGTCCTGCAACAACCCTACGTGACTGGACAACCCCGGACAACCGGTACAAGACCTGGGAATGGGCATAGTCAGCCAACAACCCTACGTGACTGGACAACCCCGGACGACCGGTACAAGACCTGGGAATGGGCATAGTCAGCCAACAACCCTACGTGACTGCACAACCCCGGACAACCAGTACAAGACCTGGGAATAGGCATAGTATAGTCAGCTGTTCGTTGTATCGGGCTACTAAGTGGTCGCATTGGCCTTTGAGGACCACGTCATAAGCGCTGCTGTGATAAGATGGACCATACACAACCAGACCAGTGATGGCTATGACACAGCCAGCCGTGTATTCATGGAAGAACCCGACAACCAAGACATCACCATTGCACGTGACACAACGTGTGTGAGACCAATGGCTGTGGGCCAGAATATACCTACCGAAAGCAACCCTGCCATTCCTACTGAATACGTACCTGAATATACCTACCGAAGCATCCCTGCCATTCCTACTGAATACGTACCTGTCATTGAGAAAGGGTTCTTCAAGCTGCGCTGCAAGAGCTGCCACGGTCAAAGATAGATGAAACACTCTACCGCCGGTTTGGGTCCAGACCTACACTACAGATAGCCGTATCTCGCAATGCATACAGATAGCCTTATCTCGCATTGCAAATACCCAACGACCTGGTTCTATACCAATCCTTACTGACCAGAGCTGCACTGCTCACTCGCGCTGTACACGTACCACATGAGCCACGGCCTGGGACACGGCACGACCAGTCTTACTGCCTAGCAAACGCACCAGCGACCAAATTCTATAACAACCCTATTCGATTAGTGCCATTGCAACTGAAATATCGGCCCTGTGGGATCGCTGGCAACTGCAACATTGTCCTTTCGATGGCTTTTGGGAAATGTACCAATGTTTTAGCAGGGGACTGTAAAGGAAAGATCATAATGTACGTCAAACATTGGAGCGGTGTCAATGGCACAATTAGTTGTGCTCGCAATATGCATTCTACTGCAACCCACGTAACACACCTCGCGATAAGAAGAGCCTATTTATAGCCGACGGGAGTGGGAGGCCCGGGCTACGGTTGTCGGATCCATTTTGTTGTCGAGTCTTACACTTGTTTCTTCTAGACACTAGCTGATGCGGCTGGATGCGCAATGTAAGACCGGGTATAGGCCTGGGATAAGGCAGTCCCCCACCACCTCCACTCCATACTGTGGGATCAAACGACAACGAATCGTATGACAATGGTACATGGCAAGACCCTGTACGGCTGGTAGTGAAAGGCAACACTGTAGAAGTTGATGTGAGATCTGGCGAGCGCTATATTGAGTCTACCACTGGTTAGATTCAGGGGTCCGCATACCGAGTCATAGAATAAAGTTGTGTGACAGTAATCGCTTGCATGCAAGGGTGCGATATAATTCCATGCAAGACATGTGGTACCAAGCCTGAGGTGCAGTGCAGCAACGCTTTCCGGCGTTTCATTGATTGCAGGAAGCCATCGCCCTGTGTTGTGGGCAAACTTCAACGCGTTAAGTGACGCTGCGGTGCTGCCGTATTGGGTGCCGCTCGACTGTACTACCTATTTAGTCCTGTAGGACCGATTGTACTTGCCTAGTCGTATGTGACTGTAACTTCTGTGCGTACGAAGGCTCCTCGAGCCACAACAACTGATAAATACAAGATCCATATACTCTGGTATGAGCACTACTAGTAGCCAGCCATACCCGAATAAACCGAACACTTCACTGTCCTTGCATCTCTAATCTACCAGCCACCACATTCGTGCACCAGTCTCGTGTATCAAACACCATACTGTAGGGGGAACCCACGGGTTTAGCGTATATAGCATGTGTGAATGTGCCACCGGTTGTATGGTGTTGTGTTGTAGACAATTCCTGTGACAACTTTGTATGCTAGATGCACGGGACGTGTTTATATAGCATGCGTGAATGTACCACCGGTTCTATGGTGTTGTGTTGTAGACAATTGCTGTGACATAGTTGTATGCGAAATGCACGGGATGTGTTTATAATGTGATAGCAGCTACACAAGCATGTACTGTGAGGCTATTAAGAGTGACAACCTTCCAACTAGACCCCTCAGTAACCTACTGTCTAGTGCGCAGTTGGATACGCGTTTCAATCAGAGACAACTGCTGCCACTTGCAGTGAGAGAGTTGCTTAGATGCTAGATGACGTATGAGAATTTGGTAACGACTGTGGATACCTACTACCCTGCATTCGCCAGTGAAGGTAAAGTCACAAAAAGATATATTTATAAAGATAATTTTGATGCATCCTTGTTCCGCCCTGGCAAGACACAGGTTGGTATCCGGGACAAGAAAATGGGTGGGGTCTATTCTCTCTATACTTCATAGAAGAAGTGGATAGCTGTCAGGTTGGGTGTCCACAATATTCGCAAGTCAGGGATGTGGAGTATCCGCCAGAATACGGTACGGCATACTACGGCCCGAGTGTCATATAGATCATACGGAACTATAATAATGGCAGACTGAGTGAGGTGCTCTTGGGTGACGAGAATGAGCGAACGTGCTTCTACTCAAGCGTCTATTTATTTATCATTGACGGTTTGACTTTTCTACGGGGTGTAGATATATACCTACGCGTGAGCACGAGCACAACTTTGTAGAAGTTCAGAGACCAACAGCGCTATGATCAAACTGCAGCTTTGAACGCCCGCTAGTGTCTGAGCATACCAACGTCTACATGAATTATACAAGGAAGGGTATATATGTATAGCGGATTCACGATAGTGTCCCATACGAAAGCCAACGTCGTATACACACAGCAGTAATACAAAACCTTGTGTTTGGTGCCCATCAGCAACTACTATCCAACCTGACAATGTCTCCGTTCCGGAATATACCTCGACAAAGTGTCCCAGAGAACCCACGCGGATGCGGCTGACGCAGTATTAGCAGTCTTGTGCCCCGACTCTACGGAATTAGGGTGACAGTCATATATGCGCCTCTCCAGCCACCCCTGCCGGCACCCACACACAGAACAACACCCGGACTCACTTTACTGTAAGAGAGATGGGTACGAGTCCTGTATCTGAGCTCTAAAACGCGCTTACTCGCTGCGAGTGTGGCTTCTGTGACAGCAGAGGCACTTGTTGGTCTGCGGCCGATGTATGCCGCACATCCTAAGGTGTAGCATGTTTCGCTGTGTCATATCTAAATAGCCTCATACAACGCATCTGCACACCGACGGGTCAGCCGACTATTTTATGCTATTAGTTATCACGATATCTGCGTTCAGTTTGAATACTGGTCGTCTCTGCGCACTAACTACGGTCGGTTTCACCTCCTCCACCCCACAGAGTATGAAAATTTGTAGGTGTTGTGACTATCACATTAAACAGTTATAACAACCACATTAACCATTTTAACCATCACACTAACCAGTTGTAATTATAACATTAACCAGTTCTAACCATCATATTAACCGGTTTCTCAATCTTTCCCCAGGCGACTGGCCACAGCTCTGTCCGCAAGCATGTCATGCTCGTAGTATTGCATGTCTGTCTCATCCAAACGTGAGCGTGAAAACATGTACACGGCGCACCACGTCGCAAGTATCGCCCGATCAACGGTTAGAGTGGGCGTGGCTAGAAGAGCTGCGATCACTCCTGATGATAAAAGTAAAATTGAGCGAATCTGCTGATAGAATCATGTATATGTATGTGGCATCACATATTTTATAATATATATACATATATATATGTATA